CATGCCCATGGCCTGTAGCCCAGTTTTACTTCTGGAATCTGGAGAAATACTTTGCAGTATTTGCACCTGCTCCAGCGGCCAGCATCCGCCATCTTTCATCTTGATTTAATTGTAATGTCATGTGTTTGGCTGTATTTTAGCATTGATTTGATGAGAATGTTAAATGTATTGTAATTTGTAGGATGTAGGTTCAAACCATAGCTGGCATTAGCACCCCAATGACCCCATAGCCATCATTAAAGCCATGGGCATGTGCCTTAGGGCTTAGGCTGCTTAGCGCTTAGGCCATAGTGGCAAACCAGAGATTTTTTAGAATCAGTTCATTTTTAATTTCTCCATTTACTCAAGATTTAAACCAATTTCTTAAGTATGATAATGCTGGTATCCATGATACTTTACTGGTCTACTTATAGAACTCAAAAATGAACTTGAGGGAGAGTCTAAAAAATTCTCTGCTTTGTCACTATGGCTTAGGCTTTGGCGCTTAGCCTCCGCTTAGGCCATAGCCTAGCCTATGTAGTAGGTACTAGTTTATAGTTAGAACCCACTATGCCGAGGGTGGATGCAGCGTCGCCAATATATGGATTTTTAAGCCCAAAGCATAGTGACAAACCAGAGATTTTTTAGAATCAGTTCATTTTTAACTTCCTCATTTACCTAAGATTTAAACCAATCTCTTATGTATGATAAGGCTGGTATCCAGGATACTTTACTGGTCTACTTATGGGACTCAAAAATGAACTTGAGGCAGAGTCTAAAAAACTCTGCTTTGCCACTATGGCCCAAAGCGTCGCTGGCCATTTTAAAGATGCGTCGCCCGGTAATTTTTAATGAAAAGCCATTTACGCTGAGTAATAAAAAACTATTTAAAAGCCACAAACTTATTTACAAGGTTGCATGCACATGTTACCCCAAATAACTAATTTTACCCTAAAAACAGTCCGATTGTACAGCAAGTGTCAACTGAACATGTAATAAAGCAGTCTGACCGCTCTAATGTGACCGAAACTACGCAATCGAAAAAACGTTGTTTACATTTTTTGCGGGAACTCATCGTAACTGATTTCCGGACAAGCTTTGCTGCATCGTAATCCATCCAACGTACCAGAAACCTTACTTTTTTTCTAAATAGTTGGCCGAAGACTGAGAAATATATTAAATGCAAGAATTTCAATCTAAATGTGTCGGCAAGATCTTCTGAAGGCAAAAATTTGGCTACTGAAGCGTCGCCAAAGATCTTGCAATATTCATCCACTCTCTGCACAGTGGGTTAGAACATAGCTATTTGACATCAAATTCAATTATATTGTCCACTAGGAGCCAGCCTCAGTCAGGGTGCAGAGGGAGAGGGTGGAAGCAGCAAGCAGCGTAGCCAATATATGGGTTTTTAAGCCCAAAGCATCGCCAACCATTTTCAAGATGCGCTGCTTGGTAATTTTTAATGAAAAGCCATTTACGCTGAGTAATAAAAAACTATTTAAAAGCCACAAACTTATTTACAAGGTCACTTGCATGTGTTACCCCAAATAACTAATTTTACCCTAAAAACAGTCCAATTGTACAGCAAGTGTCAACTGAACATGTAAAAATGCAGTCTGACGGCTCTAATGTGACCGCAACTACGCAATTGTTATAGTGGCAAACCAGTGATTTTTTAGAATCAGTTCATTTTTAATTTCCTCATTTACTCAAGATTTTAACAGATTTCTTATGTATGATAATTCTGGTATCCAAGATACTCTACTCTCTACTGGTATACTTATAGGACTCAGAAATGAACTTGAGGAAGAGTCTAAAAAACTCTCTGCTCTGCCACTATGATTGTTAACTTGTTGTTTACATTTGCATAGGATATTTTGACGGGAACTCTTCGGAACTGATTTCTGGACAAGCTTCACTGCATCCTGATCCATCCAACGTACCGGAAACCTTACTTTTTTCTAAATAGGGTAAATGCGGTATATTCCGACACTTTGAGGACGTAGCAAAAAATGAATGGCTATAAAAATATCATCGTACGCGCAACTCAAGTTCTGTTTGCTTTACGTCACTCTCCTAACACTGCACTACGCGCCAGCAACAATGAAACCTCACAAAATGTTGCCATATTTACTTGAAAGCCTTTAGAATGCAAACCTACCAAATCCATATATTCCAACACAGTGCGGCACTGTGTGTGACTAAATTCGGCATTTTGTGAGACAAACTCTACTAATTCGTAATTCCAACACTCTTGTGTTTAAATTCCGATTGTTGTGTGAGCTGTATTGGAATACGACACAGCTTGGAATTAAAACACTATTGAATATTTAACACTACTCGTTTAGGCTTTTAATTAAAAGCTATTAAGCTTTTAAGAAAATTTTAATTTTTGCACACAGCTTGGAATGAGCTGTGTGTGTCTAATTCCAAGCTGTATTGGAATTAGTTTTTATATGTCTATAACCGTCTCTTAACTTAATCATCTATTAATTTATTTACGACTTGAAATCAGCAAATACAAGTATACTTGAAGGATTCCTAATATATTCACAGACTTATTTAAAAGTCTCAGACCATATTATTTTTTCTACACAAACAGTTTATCACTATTTGGTAGAGCAAGGTCAACTATCAACTTTGACATTTTTCGATGTTCTTGCTGGGTGATGCGCACTGTCTCTCTTTGGATCTCAACATTTTCCTGCCAGACGGCCCGGATCTAGTGTTTTGGCAATAGTATGGCGCGCAAGAGTATGACATCAGTCACATCACTATTTCAACCAACAATGAAAGTGGGGAACTAAGGAAAAGCATAATATAAAGGAAAAAAATCGAGAAGTGTCGGAATAACCCACAATGTTGGAATATACCGCATTTACCCTAGTTGGCCAAAGACTGACAAATATATTAAATGCAAAAATTTCAATCTAAATGTGTTGGCAAGATCTTCCAAAGGCGTAAATTTTGCTACTGAAGCGTTGTCGGTGATCTTGCAATATTCATCCACTCTCTGCACAGTGGAGTAGGAGTAGGATAACTACACTCTACCCTACCCTAAGTACGTTGCTACGGCCTAATATGGCCGTACGGTGTGTGGCATACCAAACCGACGGATGATGGAGCATGCAGTCACCAGTCATGGACTTAGAGTTTAGACTATATAATACATGCTTAGTAATTACTATCCTAGGTACAGACTTTACAGTTGCAGAGTTTGAGTATTGGTTGATTTGCTTGTCCTCCTGATCTTAATCGTATTTGAATATGGTTAATAATCTATTATATACCTATCTACTTGTCAAGTGTCAAATTACGTTCATAAGATTTTGGGAGAAGTGGCAAAGTTTGTGTTGAATATTGGCTTTAAGTGGCTGGACAGCCTGGACTTGTATATAAATTTTTATTGCTAATTTAGAATTACAACGCAATAATTGTGTCTAATTTAGGCTGAAATAATATATGAAGCATTCATCAATCATCATCCATGTACATTCTCACATAATTAGTAATTGCCTGTCTGTAAAGTATGGCACATAGGCACAACATGGGTCAAGGATGCCATTATTCTGCCTAAAAGACATTAATGCATTGTCTAAATGGATGGTGGACACAAGGTTTGCAGCAACTTGAGGGCAAGGTTGTCAAAATTGACTGTCCATGGTCTGGAAGGTGCAGCATGTGCACTTGTGCACCAGAGGTTTATTTTGGAATGTATGCCAGTACACCAGGGAAGTAAGTTGCCAGTATTCTTGCTAAAAAAATGAAAGTGCAACTCTGACCGATGCCCAATGATTGACACAGATGCATGCGCTTTATGATCAAATCATCAATGTGGCCGATGTTTGATGACCGACACAGGAACACGCGCTTTACAATCGATTTGGCCAATTCCCGATGACCGACACAGATGCACGTGCTTGACGATTGATTTGGCCCATTCCCGTTAATCAATGCTGATGCATGCTCTTTATGACTGATGTGGCCGATGACTGATGACTGACACAAACACACTCACTTTATAATCTATGTGGTCAATGCCCAATGATCAACACTGATGCATGCGCTTCACGATCAATGTGACTGATGCCTGATGATGAACACTGACCCATACCCTTTACAATCAATGTGGCATAACACACAACATAACACCATAACACATAATAACATGACACATTATAACACAACATAACCTGATATCACATTATAACACAACACGTCGCAATGAAAATGATTCCTATTTACTATAACACAGGGTGGCCCAGTGGTTAAAGTTCAGAGTACCAAGATTGACGCAGAGAGGTGCAGGTTTAATCCCATCTCTGTGCACCAGTTTCTGGTCAGAATCGGCAAGGAGGGAAGGCAGTTAGGCACAGCAGAATTTGAATCAGTGAGTTGCGAGTTCGAGACCGCAACAAGCTGTGGATGTTCTGCAATGTTAAGAATCGGCGACAGGCCTATGGCCTAATAAACGCTGAAACCACTATTATTATTATTACTCAACACATTTTACCACAACATATTATAACAGAACACATCATCACCATGCTTTACTGATCACAAAGTTACTTTATAGCTTCAGGGTTCTTACAATGTAATTATTAATTTTTCATCCATTTTCATTTCTGTTTATGTCCCATCCATTAACCTAACAAACCCCTCACCATCATACATGTATTCCATTTCAATGTAAATACCATATTTCATCATTTTTTTTAGATCATTCACTTGGATTGATATTGTGTTCCATTTCTTCTGGTGTTATTTTTGTGAGTGACAAGAGCCAATATTATATTGGCCGTACTGGGCCTTTGTAGCTTGGAGGTTAGGAGTGCCCCTAAGACCTAACAGTGGAGAATTGGAATAAAATATTGTGGAGCAGATGATAAGGTCTCCTGCATCTTGCCAGCACATTGATGTCAATGAAATGAGTGATTCCCTTTTTTTCAAGCAGTCAATTTATTAATACATGACCAAACTATGAAATTTTTCATTGTAGTGGGCTAAAATGTTCTAGATTCCTCAGATTTTAAAGTTAAACAAAAAATACCAAATTTGTAGCTGTAAGATTTCAGTCATGCTGAATGTCCTTTAGCCTACATCACACACACTCAACCTCTCAAAAAAGCATTCTAAATTTCAATTGCATTTAAAATTTCAAGTATTTACATTTGCCTCGAACTAAGCTTTATTCTCCTTACATTTTCAAGCTGTTAAGAACTTATTTGTAATAAATGCATTTGTTTCCTTTCAGTTTTCTCAAATCTAAGGAGAATCACCAATTGAACTATTTAATGTAAAGTTTGTGAAACAGCAATATATTTTGTACTAAGATTTTTTTAGAGACATTAGTGTTGTACAAAATGGCTGGACGTTTGAAAGTTCTTACACTGCTGCGCACGTTATCTGCTTCTTCGTAAGTTCTAAGACCAGTGTTTGATGTTTGTCTTTTTTGTTGTTCTATGTGCTTACATTTTGGTCTGAATTGTAATTTGAATGTGCCAGGCTTAATATTGAATGCTGTTTTTATTCATGACTTACTTTTTCAGATGTCAATGTCCTGCTCATTCAAGTGGGATGCTGGTTGGGCATCCGCACTCGACCACCTCCAAGGAAGATAAAGAATATGCATTTGAGGTATAAATTCTGAATTTTTTCTATTTAAATGTTATATATTTTTTATGGACCCATCGTTTTTGATAATAGGAACATTTAATGAAAATTTGTAACAATAGGACTTGACCACTTCCTTCTGGAAGGGGTTTGAATCTATTTTGAATAATTAAAGTTTTATAAGAATTATTTTCACTGACTAAAGGTGAATCGATCAAGTAGACTCCTGCGTCTCGAAATGATTTTCTCGAAATAAACCGGGACAGACGTAACGAGATGAGAAAATTCCGGGAAAAAAATAATGGGACAGAGGGTAAAACTTGTCCCGGAATAAACGTATGAACCGAGACAAGACTTCTGTCCCGGACTTTAAAACTTGTGTCTTGGTAAATTATGAACCAGGACGAGACAGACAGATTTGAAACAAGACATACAGTTGGGGGGAAATAAATATTCATACTCTTGAAAAATCGTATTTTAATGTATGTAAGTACACAAACTTAACAGGAAAAGTGATTTAAATTATGTATAGAGACGCATAGTATTCAAAAATACTATCAAAAGAAATAAAATCTCAATGCAACAAAAAACAATGCAACATGTTCACTTTTCGGGTGAAATACTATGCGTCTCTATACATAATTTAAATCACTTTTCCTGTTAAGTTTGTGTACTTACATACATTAAAATACGATTTTTCAAGTGTACAAATATTTATTTCCCCCCACTGTAACAAGACAAGACGAGATTTGTCTTAATTATTTAAGACAAAACAAGTTTTTCGATTACGATACGAATCATTTCAAAAACATGGGTTGAAGAATGACAAGTTTGCCCTTTATTGCTAAAATGGCCATAGTTAGTTACCAGTTAAATTAAGTTAATTGCAGATTTAGCCAAATTTGTCTGACTAACTGACATGGCAGTTAATTAGTGGTCCGACCAAACACCGCAAACCTATCAATGTATGCATGGCTGAGTATTGAGTCAAAAATGTTACTCTTAAGTCTTAACTAAGGCTTCGAAGGCACTTATGGGAACCGTACGAATATGAGTCGAGTTTATTACGCGTTCGGAACGAGTTCAGGCGCCGTGGAGCGCATAGGGAGTAGGGACGCAGTGTCTAGATTAGTCGGCCAATTTGTAGACAGTGGAGTGGAGTCCTGGTAAGATATTCCTAATAATACTAAAGCTAGTATTAGATTATCTCTGCCTTTGGTAAAATTTTGTGCTACGCCTCCAGGAAATCTTCACAATTGCGCAGTTTCCTGAATTGTTATCAAACACTTGGGCTTGTTGAACGTTACTCAGAAGGGATACACATGGATTTTTCAAGTTCTTTTTCAAAGATCAAACTATTATATTTTTTCCAACGTAAATTTTGTTGTATTTTAAAATGTTTTTGATATTTCTTTCCAAACTTTTTGTTGAAGGAGATTGCTTAAGGCAAAATCGATTTCTGTGATTGAGCTGGAAGCAAATCAAAGTCTGTCCAGTCAGCCGATGTCACCAGCTACAGCTAGTATGGTCTTCTCCAAACCATCATAGAACACAATTTTTGAAAAAACGTGTTATTCCATTTTTATTTGCCTGTCAAGATTAAGTACCATATTAAACCACAGCATGTATTCGTAGCAAGAATCATTTCAATTGCCGAGCTCCAATCAGAATAGTAAAAGGATACGTCTCAAGTTATTATATAAATGCAAAGGTAGGCAGTAGCGCGCTACATGTAAGCAATTCTAGCGGTAGCACCCGCTACATATTTAAGTAGCGATACGAGGTTTTACCGCTACCGCTACATTTATAGATAAAGCTTTTAGATTTTACTTAATAGTATTGAATATTTTTTTAAAACCAGCATGATACATACATAACATAAATTAGAGAACAAAACTGTACGAAAGATTTTCGTGTAATGTTGTCAACCTCAGCCTGTTACCAGTGTCAACATGTTAGTTGTTACCAGAGGTGGGCAGTAGCACGCTACATTTTCAGTAGCGGTAGCGGCGCTACATTTAAGCAATTGTAGCGGTAGCGCCCGCTACATTTGGAGCATGTAGCGGTAGCGGCCGCTACATTTCAAAGTAGCGCTGCCCAGCTCTGTATAAATGTATGATGGTAAGCCAAAGCTTACACCACATCAATAATTGATTCGTTTCGCTATGTCTCGTTAAAATGGCTATAAATTCCAGGAAATTTTAAGGTACCTATTTTAACCGGGATGTCTCGTCTCGTCTCGGTATCGTACCGGAATTCCTACGTAGGGCTGAAAATTGTCCCGGTTTTTATTGCGAACCGGGACAGAGCCTGTTGTCTCGTCTCGTCTCGGATAAAAAAATACCAAACGCAGGAGTCTATGATCGAGTTGCTGTTTTCTAATTGATCTATAAGCATAGAAAATCTTTTCTTGCAAGTGATGCAAAATAATCAGAACTTTTACAAATTTTTTCCTGGGCTGCAAGGTTTATTTTAGTTAGTACCGTACTTACCTATATCTTTAACCCTTTACCATCACTTTACCATTTATGCTTCTTAAAATTTATGCTTTGAACAAGAAGCCTGCATCCCCTGGATTGTGTCTGTGATAAAGTTGCCATGTCTAACAGACTAACAATCATCACTTGAACTTTTTGGACCTGAAATCACTCTGTCCCACATGTCATAAATGACACAAGATTCATGTGAAAGTATATTGTTATAGTATATAGGAAAGTATAGGAACAATTAACATGCATTCTGTTCTTATAAGGCAGACAAACAGCTATATCCTTTGATTGATGCCAGTAGTTCATAAAATGAAAGTTAGTTACTATATTTAATTATTATTAAATTATACAGAATACCTTGGACAAATCAATTGACAAAAATTTTGATTCCCAATAGGCCAAATTTTAAAGAATATATGCAAGTTTATATATTGCAGAATTGATCATATTTTCTCAGTTCAGGATAATAATTGAGATTTTATTAAATTCTGTCAGGTCACAAAGGGTTAAGGAAACAAAAGCCCCATGTCAATCTTGATCTGTACCTCCTTCTCTTTGCAAGAACTTTGATCCTCAATGTTTACTGCTCTTGCAACTGCTCTCATTTTATGTGCAATTTATGCAAATTTAAAGCAAAATGTCAAAAATATTTGCATCCTACCTCTGTGGATCACTCATTACAATGCTGGAAACTATGTTGAAAGATTCAATTTTTCATATTTGCTTTAAGTGTCATGATGATAGAATAGAATAGAAGTGTCAGCATTGAAGAAATAGGCCCATGGCCTGTGATGGATGGAATCTGGTTTGAATTGAATGATCTGGCTTGAATTTCACTAAACATTTTAATTTGACTGCAGATGGCTTGCTCTAACATTCGATATGGTCCTGGAGTCACTGCAGAATTGGGCATGGATGTGGAGTCTCTTGGTGCAAAAAATGTCTTGGTCATGACTGATAAAAACATAGCAAATCTGCCCCCCATGACCAAAGTTGTTGACAGCCTCACCAGCCGCAAGATCAACTTCAGCGTGTTTGATGATGTCAGAGTAGAGCCGACCAATGAAAGGTGAGAGATCTGGGCCCATACTTACAAAAAAGTTAAGAGATCGTAAGTTCATCAGCCAATCATTGACGGCCTTTCAAGCAGAATCCACCAATCATAGACAAGAAAATAGAGCATAAGTAGTTAAGCTCACTTAGCATGTTTTGAAAGTATGGCCTCTGTTTCATATTCTCATCCTCTCAACCATTTATTGTTGTCTACTGAATAGTTATGGTTGTTTGTATCAGAATTTGATTAAGATTAATTTCAATTGCTAAAATACCAACTTAACCCTTTGATGGCGAATATAAAAGTCAATCACCAAGTTTTTTGTCGTAGTTTTAAAATCGCAATTTAATTTATGGTTGTTTGGATCAGAATTTGATTAAGATTAATTACAATTGCTAAATACTAACTTAACCTTTTTGATGGTGAATATAATAGTCAGTTACAAAGTTTTTTTTTTCTCCGTAGTTTTGAGGCCGCAATTTTATTCATGGTTGTTTGGATCAGAATTTTATTAGAATTATAATTTCAATTGTTAAAATACTAACTTAACCTTCTGATGCCAAATATAAAAGTCAATCATCAAAATTTTTCTCCATAGTTTTGAGGCCGCAATTTCATTTGCTCGTGCTGGCAATTATGACGCGTTTGTGGCTGTTGGTGGGGGCTCAGTGATGGACACTTGCAAGGCAGCAAACTTGTACGCTGCTGACAGAGATGCAGAATTCCTTGACTATGTCAATGCACCCATTGGCAAAGGCAAGCCAGTCACAGTCAAATTGGCCCCTCTTATTGCTGGTGAGCAAATAGTTTTGATTTATATCAAATTCATTTAGTTTTTGTGCACTGCAAGTGCTTGCACTTTTCAGTTAGTTTCGTGGATTTATAATATATTTTTATTGTCATTAAACAGCAAACTTTTAATGTGGTTTTGCATTGGAACTTTTTTTTACCAGTGACAACTAAAATGTTCCTCATAAATTCTGTTAAGTGTTCGATGTTTAATTCGATTTGTTATTCTGTACATTAACTAGTTTATAATTAATTCAAGTTATTACCATAGAAATTAGGAGATACATTACCATAAATGAAGCTGATTTTCTGTCCAGAAGTTTCACCCATGTTTAATGAACTAATAAAATAAGTATTAAAATCTCTTGACTGCTTAAATCGCAAGTTTATCAAAATTTATATGTAAAAAAATAGCCAGAAATTCACCATTTATCAAAAAGGAAAACTTTTGGATACCAGCTCCATTATCAACTCAAAACCTAAAACACAGGTACAAAAATTAGCAATAAATTCACATTGAAGCATAATTGCATTTTCCTTTTCAATAAATGGTGAATTTTCTGGCTATTTTCTTTGCATGTAGATTTTTGATGAAGCAATAATATTGGTTGGTAATGCATAGCAATTATTCCTTGTCACTGCCAACTAAGGCTGAAACAAAGATGTTTATGTTCAATAGTTTTGCAGTTCCTACAACAGCCGGCACAGGCAGTGAGACGACAGGCGTTGCCATATTTGACCACATACCGCTGAGTGCCAAGACTGGCATAGCCCACCGTGCCCTGCGACCTCTGCTTGGTCTCGTGGACCCCTTGCATACGTTGTCCATGCCCCGCACTGTCGCAACGTACAGTGGGTATGACACCGCTTAATGCATGGCATGGACCAGACTCACTCCACATACCCTTTACATGCCCCGCACTGTCGCAGTGTACAGTGGGTATGACACCGCTTAATGCATGGCATGGACCAGACTCACCCCACATACCCTTTACACACCTTTTTATCTTGTCATCACTTATATGTTGGTCGTATTGACATTATCTTGTCATTTCTTATATTTTGGTCGTAATGACATATCTTGTCATTTCTTATATTTTGGTCGTAATGACATTATCTTGTCATTTCTTATATTTTGGTCGTAATGGCGTTATCTTGTCATCACTTATATTTTGGTTGTTATGACGTTATCTTGTCATCACTTATATGTTGGTCCTAAAAACATACATTTTTGAACAGATTTGACGTGTTGTGCCATGCACTGGAGTCATACACTGCCCTGCCATATACGGAACGTCAGCCTCGTCCGCCTCATCCGCAGCTACGGCCCGCCTACCAGGGCTCCAACCCTATATCTGATGTCTGGGCCAGAGATGCTCTCAAAACCATCAGTAAATACTTCATCAGGTGCTGTCAACTTGCCAAATGTTCAATACTCTTGAAGCTGTAGCATGTACATTATCAGTAAATACTTCATCAGGTGCTGCTGAGTACGCGATGAGAGCTTTTGCAGGTCAATACAGGATCCCGAAATAAATATACTCAATTTGTTCGAGATTAATGGAATATTTTGCAGGTCATTAGAGAACCAAGAACAGTATATGCATAATTTCTTAAACATTAAAGGGATATTTACAGGTCAGTGGAGGACAAAGAAATGTATAATTAATTAGACATTAATTAGATATCTACAGGTCAGTGGAGGACAAAGAACTGTGCATGTATAATTTATTAGACATTAATTAGATATTTACAGGTCAGTGGAGGACAAAGAACTGTGCATGTGTAATTTATTAGACATTAATTAGATATTTACAGGTCAGTGGAGGACAAGGAACTGTGCATGTGTAATTTATTAGACATTAATGAGAGCTTTTGCAGGTCAGTGGAGGACCCAGAAGACGTAGAGGCGCGCTCTCACATGCACCTGGCAAGCGCTGTGGCGGGCATCGGCTTCGGCAACGCTGGCGTGCACCTATGCCACGGCCTCTCCTATGCCATCGCTGGCAATGTTAAAACATATAAGCCTGAGCTGTACAAGTGAGACTTCCTTTAAGAATTTACATCTTTGGTCACCTTCAAACATACGTATATAAGATTTCCTTTACTGAAAAGTTTAGGCGGATCGTTAAAACAAGTAAACCTTAACTGTGACAGCCTTAGGCACTTTTTTTAATCCTTATCAGAGTATAATCTGACTGCATAATTTTATGAAGTCATAATCGCACGGAGTGTAGGTACAATTGTGCTTTTGACGACAGAATATTTTTAAAAGATTTCCTACATAAACTACGTAATTTTCAGTTTAAAAGCCCTATAAGCTTTCCTCGTCGTGATAATTATGTTATTCGAAACATTTGTTGAATTTTATTTAATTGAGAAATTTAATTTAAGTAGTTTTGAATACTTGGACATAATCACTTCACTTTATTTGAGCTAAATTTGCAGTTCTAAATTAAATGTTGATTCATCCTCTGTTTGCAGCGGATCGCAATCCCTTGCCTTGTATTACCCATGATTGTTTTTTGTATACTTATATACATTCATAAATTCATTCATTTCATGCGTGCATACATTAGGATAGCGGCCCCCACTACTTTTATCTCCTGGTAAATATTATCTGTTCTTTTCAATTCATATGTAATATCATATACATAATATCATATACATCATATCATATCATATGTATTAAAATACGTATACGGTCTTTCATATAATCATGCTTTAGATAGTGTGTATAATTTCTTGTGTATTTACATGTTTTTCACGTCTTTAAATTTATTCAGGACATTACATTTTGTCAAGTTTTTTATTTTTTCCCGTGTTTGATATTTTTTGTGCTTCTTAAATTTTTTGCACGTTTTTAATTTTTTATGCGCATTTATTGTTTTTTTATGCATTTTATTTCTATTTTTGCGCTTATTTTTTATTTACACGCTATTATATTTTGATGTTAAAGTTCATCTCACCCGCTGATCCCCCACGGACTGTCAGTGGTCATCACCGCACCCGCTGTCTTCCAGTTCACCGCCCCAGCCTGTCCTGCCCGACACAAGTGGGTCAAGTGGTGGGGAAATGTGGGTCAAGTGGTGGGGAATGTGGGTCAAGTGGTGGGGAATGTGGGTCAAGTGGTGGGGAATGTGGGTCAAGTGGTGGGGAATTTGGGTCTATGCAAAATAAGTATCATCATAATCATCAATTTATTTCTCATTACTCTATTAACTGAAGCATTTTTGACTAAATCAAAATTATCAATTGAGTACCTTTACATGATCGAGCTTTAAATCATAAGATTTTATTCTAAAAATACATTGAGCGCATTTAAGCTTTGTATAATCTTATATGTTTTTTACATAGAAATTGAATAGTATTTTCATTTACAGAGAAGCTGCTGTTCTACTCGGAGGAAAGGCTGACGTCAAAGACGAAGATGCAGGTAAAAGTTATTATTGTTATTATTACGGGAAAAGGATGCAGTATATCCTTTTCATCTGTAGAAAATCCGTCCTATTCTAAAATTTTCATCCAGTATGAAACATTAACTCTAACTTCAGGAAAGGAAGGATGATAACTAAATATGTGTGTAAGAAGCATCAAATAAAAATTTTACTTTAATTTACTTGAATTGACAGGCTAATTAATGTGTTTAACCAACGTCGGTGTTTTACATTAGATTTAATATATTGACACGTTCTAAGGGTTGATGAATGTGATGTAACCTCCATACTAGTTAAAGGGGGTTTAAAATACTGAGCAGCAGATCAACATTCAACCACACTCTCCCGAAATCACAGTCGTGTTATGATGTCCATTACAGCACGTCTGCACCACTCCTCTGCTCATCTAATATTTTATCCTGATGCCTTATCTCGACACCTCACACCTGCGTATTTACCATTTAATTCTGGGACTCTGAACATTTTTTTACTCTAATTCTGATACCAATTATCTCAACACAGTATCTTTGCATGTTTTTACAACTTAATTGTGATGGACATCACAAGCACTGCACCCCTGAATCATTATATTATAATTATATTATAATGCTTTGTAAAACACATTCTACGCGCCTACACTCCAGCATATTCACCATTGAATGCTAGGTGTTCTAAATCATTTTTACCATGCTCGAGTATTATCATTACGGTACTTGTATATAGTATTCTATCATCATTTTACAGGATGTCCATAAAGCCTGGACACACAGGATAGTTGAATTTGAATATTTTTGGTACCTATATAATTAAAATTAAGTTTTATTTTCACTACTTATTTTATTCAAATAACATATTCAATATGAGCGCCATCATTTGGCCTGCCAATCGCAATGCGTTTCACAAAATTTACATTAACTCGATTAATCACTCGATTGCATGATTACTTTCCCTATCAAAATTTTGAGTTGGTGGTGACCCTGAATTAGGAGCCGCCTAGAACTCGGACCGCACGTAAATTAGCTTCTCTATGTCCGCCTCGGCTCAGGGTTCGAAGGGCAGCCTCTGGGCAGCTTGCTAGCTCGGTATGCCTCGGCTCGGCCGACTCTTTTCATACTCTTAGGCGACTATAAAGTCGGAAAGGAGATTCTGATTAGAAACTGATTTCGATCGGATGGCCAAGCAGACCCTGAATGACTCTACGCCGAGTGTAACAACTATTCGGCCGAACTCTAGGCTGTCCCCGAATTTTGTTAGGGTTACTATATGTGTCCAGACTTTACGGACACTCTGTATGATGGTATATTTATCAGGGCTGGCGCTGGCTGATGTGCTGAGGACTTACATGCAAGCCCTGGGCATCGAGGATGGTCTCACTGCGCTGGGCTTCGGCTCAAGTGATGTTCCGCGTCTCGTGGAGGGCACGTTGCCTCAACACAGAGTCACCAAGCTGGCACCCCGCCAACAAACTCATGAACAACTCGGCGATATACTGCATAACTCCATGACTGTTTACTGAAATTAATTGACTACACATACTTACTGTTTACTGAAATGTTAGTGGCCTTAGTTGCTAGCTCGTCTACTGAGCTGGATGGTCTACATACCATGACTGTCTACCTCTACTGAGATGGATGGTCTACACACCATGACTGTCTACTGAGATGCTGCTTCATGACGACCGAAACCAATTGTTGAATGTTCGTCACTGTCGACTGAAAATAATTGTATTTACTGCATGACTGTCGACTGAAAACATTTGTATTTACTGCATGACTGTCGACTGAAAACAATTGTATTTACTGCATGACTATCGTCAAAATTTGTGATTGTTCTGGGAAATCAAATATTCCAACTAAACACGTGGAACTACAGCGGTGTTTACTCAGACGGCTTCCCTGACTGTGTTTTTAGCGAATGTTCTCATTTGTCGCTATTGTGCTCATCATGTCCGTCCGTCCGTTTGTCTGTGACTTCACGTTTGCGTCGATTTTGAGAAAATGCGCTCTCTGTCGCTCGCTGCAGTGAGTACTGAGTTACTTTTTTTGTCATTTCGTTTAGTTGCCTTGAAACGTTCGAATTTAGCGAGCAGTTCTCAACTCGACAGCTTTTTCAGAGCAAGCTGTATGCCATTCTCCTCAAATCTATTAACTATTGTTTCCTCGGAAGCTACTTTGACGAATGCTCTTCTCTCAGAAAGGAATATAATTTTATTTTTTTTATTTTTATGTTCAATAGTCTTTTGTAGAATTAAAGTGTTATTTTTATTACCTATAGCTGTTTTTAAATGTTGGAAAATGTTATTTCTGGAATATATGCGAAAAATTACTCGAGCAATTGTAACTCGTTTTTCCTAATTTCCTCTTGATGTACAGTTGCTTCAAAGTTTATTGCAGGTTTCTTACATAAACGACTTGTTTCCTTCGTGGGATGATTATCTACTTGTTAATATCTTACCAAAGCTCTGCCTCTTCTATGGTTGGAAAAAACGCTTAGTTTAGAGCTCAGTCATATCAGGTTGTCGGTTCAGTGACGACCTGATTATAAGGTTTGATAGATTAATCAGTTCAGATCATCTAATTAATACAGTTCTTTCTTGATGGTCTGGGTCTCTGTAGTTGTCCTAATAACCTTTTCACGTGGGTTAATGATGAGACGTGTACTTGCTTAGTGATAATTATTAAACACTAGGTAGGATTACAGGATAAGGCGCTAAGAATGTTTTATAGAATAGAATAGAAGTGTCGGCATTGAAGAAATAGGCCCAGGGCCTGTTGCCGATTCTTGAATTTTTCATGACTTGATTCACAAGGGATCCGGCCTTTGGAACCCTATCTTTCCATAACTGACTACTAGTGGTTAACGACACTGGCGAGTTGGTAGCGTGTGCCGGAGTCTAGACGTATTGGACGCGTCTTTGTTCAGTTGCGTATGACTTCAGCCAAGACTCCTGTTTCATGTTCATGACTGACTGATGCAGAGCTGTCAGCGACTATTTATAGAAAAACCTAGATTATGCCTCCGAAAAAATAGAATTAAATGAAAAAATCTAGATATAGGCAGAGCTGGGCAGCGCTACTTTGAAATGTAGCGGCCGCTACCGCTACATGCTCTAAATTTAGCGGCCGCTACCGCTACAATCGCTTAAATGTAGCGCCGCTACCGCTACTGAAAATGTAGTGGCCGCTACATGTAGCGCGCTACTGCTCACCTCTGGTAAGAACTAACATGTTAACACTTAGTAACAGGCTGAGGTTGACAACATTACACCAAAATCTTTCGTACAGTTTTATTCTGTGATTTATATTATGTATGTATCATGCTGGTTTTTAAATAATATTTAATACTATTATGTAAAATCTAAAAGCTTTATCTATAAATGTAGCTGTAGCGGCAAACCCCCGTATCGCTACTTAAATGTGTAGCGGGCGCTACCGCTACAATTGCTTAAATGTAGCGCCGCTACCGTTACCGCTACTGAAAATGTAGCGGCCGCTACATGTAGCGCGCTACTGCCAACCTCTGGATACTACTGACAGCATGGGTGGTGTCGTATGCACAAGTCGCCTTTCAGTCGCAAATGAGATTTAGTTGCATTGTTAACGACCGCGTGCGATATTCGTTATAAAATCGTGGAATTGGAGTCTTTGTAGACGACCAACTCATGATAAATAAATTATTATTGTGGAATGCATGCGATGCAATGTAAAAATGAATGCTTGTTCAGAAATACATGATATATCGACCCATCGGTCATTTTAGATTTCAGCACGTTGATGTCATTAAATTAATTAAATCTTACATTGTCTAAGCTGTAATGTTCAGAGTATTTCAATGCTAAAATTATCGTTCCATGATAATTTCTGGATCTACACGAAGTTTTAACACTCGTATCATTTACAAAGGAAGTTACTTTAGTAGTTTTTAAAACGTTTTTCTTAGTTTAGCTTCGCGTTTGTTTGTTTGTTTGTTTGTTTGTTGTTAACATTGACAACGAAAATTAACCCACTTCTGATTGCTCTAGCGCTCTGAAATTCGGCATGCAGGCTATTTTCGCCTAACAATTTCAGATACAATCATAAAAACTAGCAATTAGAGACCTAAATTAGCTTAATTGAGTAAAGTATATATATATAGTATATATATGGTATGACGTGCGGGCGCTCACGTTATAGACGAGCAGGCGCTGACGCTGCGTATCATCGATACGTACGTCAAGTCATACTTAATCAAGTCTTAATCGTTTTTCTTGTGGACTAAAAAGTAGAAAATAAAATACTTTAAAAAACTTTTAAAAAACACGTTTTTCTTGTGGACTAAAAAGTAGAAAATAAATTGTTGTTCGCCCCAAAAAAACGTGGGTCGGGCTGTACGTTCACCATCAAATTTCCAAAATTTAAGTGTTGTGTTCTTTTCGCTTTATTCATAAAACTGCCCGACACACGTTTTTTTGGGGCGAACAATAATTTATTTTCTACTTTTTAGTCCACAAGAAAAACGTGTTTTTTTAAAGTTTTTTAAAGTGTTTTATTAATGTTGTTACTTACTACAATCTTTAGTGGAGAAAAGGCAAAAAAAAAAAAATATCAGCTCGTGTAAGGACCAAGAACATTGATCACAGGTCGTGAAGGAACGCGGCTGAAAAAAAGTGTATGTGCTTTAATTTTAGCTTCTTGTGTATCAAGACTCACAGAAATGATTTGCTCACCTTAAATGTACTTCTGTGACTAAGGTAGCACCAAAAATTGCTTACACTTCAGAAATTTCAGACATGTAATTTTAAGTAATCGACTGAAATTTATTACTGATCCCTTGTGAATATTATTTTGATGTCAGCGTTGATTCATACTAAATAATTCCTTCAGTTCATTACATTAAAATGAGTATTTTAGATCGATTGGGAACTGTCGCTTTTTCTGCAGCGAGACAACATCCGTCCCAGGTGTTATCACAGACTTCAAGGCAAATTGTCAATAAACATTTTTGGGCACGCCATCTATTTTATCGTGTCGTGAATGTCAGCGGTATATATAATCCCAGCCAAAATCTGCGGTCCTCTTCTCCATCTCCCAGTTATATTATTCACCAGCTTCTGGAAGCTGACTATTCGAGACCTACAATTTGATGATAATATTTTCTACTTAAACCGAAAGCCTTCAGCGATATATTGTATGATGCGACTGTTTGAAATATTTGGCTCTATTTATGGGTGTTTTTTGCTTGCAGCTGAATTAAACGTTATTTAATATTTAAATCGTAGCTCCTGCCTTCACCTGTTAGACCAATTCAATGAGCTGTAAAAGATTAGTCGTAGGTACTGCTGAATTTCTTACTATATGAAATTGATTGCATCGTACGAGCATTATGAAAAATATATTCCAGGCTGATCTTTATACCCCAAAGAGGATAAAACTTTAAGCCGGACGTGAACAAATTTTTTTTGGATGGTAATCTCCAATCTAATGAATAAATTACACTTTGGTTTGCATGTTGGACGCTAGGCTCAAATCTATAAGAGCTCTTCAAGTACGTATCCACAATATCTATAGAATAGGCATGTTTTGTGGGACTGGAACAAATTTCTAGCTTTTAAATTGCAAACTATCGCTTAAAACCACTAACGAAAACAGCATTTTACTGTCGGTGATTTCAGTGATTTTTACTGGCGGGTACTTTCAGTGATTTCTCCGTACTTCACTCTGATGTTTTACCCACGGGTCGCCTGCCGAAGACCACAACTGCCGTGGATGTAATGGACCATCATGATTTCTGCCTTCCGAAACGTAGCCTTCAACACTTCAAGCCGTCCGTATCTAGGCCGTGGGTCGAACCAGCCCTTGGTCGAACGGCCACTTATCGAAGGACGATAAATTTTGGAACAGAACCTAACCTATGTGAAACCTGACCTCAGATGTGGTGAACGTAAAATTACGTAATTTAACGATGCCCGGAAGTCAGATTAGATCCGCGGCCTGGTGGTGCACGGCAGGTGGTGGTCAAGGCCGGAGGAGGACAAAGCCGAGTGGTGCACGGCTGATTGGTGGATATCCGGAGAGATCCAAGGCGTTCGATTCAGGGCTTATTGGTGCACAAAATTGGTGGTGCACGGCTGCGCTCCCTTTACCCATTTCCTGTGTAGTATATCATAGACACTATTCCGTGCCTCAAAATTAGCTGTCGATTTGACCTTAAGGTCAAATCGACATATAAGGTCGATTTTACCTTATGTGAAGTAAACTTCTGACTAACATTATACCAATACATCATTTATTGGCTGTGTACGCTCAAGACGCTGTCTCTCTATGCCATGGTTGAACTATTCTACTGGTTCAACCATGCTCTATGCTGTCTTTCTGCGCGAGAAAGTGACTGGTCTCACCTCTCGAATAATTTTCCCACCGTTTAAAAAAGAAACCGAGATCCAGTAAGTATGAGCAAGAAAACACATATAATTCGAAAACAAGTGACTGGTGATAGGTTATGCGGCACATAATTACGAAGCCTTACTGAATCTCAATATTATTTTGTCATATTTTTAGTCATTCTTTCGACGTCTCGGACAAATTTACGGCCGGATATGCAGCTGGTCTCACAATGCAGTGGACAAGGTAAATCTCTCAAAATAATGAACGTAGCTCGATGAAACTTTGTAAGTTAGCATCACATATCGTTGCAAATTGATTTGCGCAATGTGCTCCTATAAATTGTTTAGAAAAGCCATGAAGCCAAATTCAAGTTCAACAATTAATTAAAGTTCATGGTTGAGACAGTTATACCTAAGATACGGGCTCCAGTAAATATTTTTGTCCCTAAAACCGATGAGATGTTTGAATTTCTATCTCAAATGTGGCAACACTCTGACGCTCCCATAAGTCCAGTAGTATAACAAAAATGGCCGGGGGGTTGTGTGAGAGTTTGCGTGTGTCGGTGAAAAATAAAGTTCGGTGAAATTATGGTGGAGTCATAAGCTTGCCGACTTGCCATATAGGTAAGTATGTTTCAAGTGAATTATACGAATTTATCTGACTGTCTTATTTGCGTAAATGAAAACGGACCGATGATGCGCCTAGTGGATATTAATGGCGGCTTTTTTCATCTTACCGTACTTCCATTAAATTTAAAGTAATTCGAACACCCTGGGGACTGAAAAGCTCGAATCGAAAAAATAATACCTGAAATTTGTCCATTATTTTATATTGATTAAAGTTGTAATATTTTGCAGGATAAATGTTCTTCTTTGGTGGTTTATTGAGCTGATTTCTCATCTCCGAACGCGAGACTGAGAGATAGCGAAAGACCGATCGGCCGAGCTAGTCTAGAAATCACACGATAATAGGAGAATAGTATCTGTTCTGCTGCCATTTGAACTTGCTTATCCGAAATTCTGTTTTATTTTTCTGCGTTTGTTTAGCTGCTATGAGTGATAACTTTCGGAGATAGTGACAGTCTGACAGAAGCAAAACACAGACTCTTTAGAATCTGTTCAACTATTTTCTTCATCTAGTCAAGATTTTAACCAATTTCGTATGTATTATAATGCTGGTATCCATGATACTTAACTATTCTACATTTCTACTTATAGGACTTGTAAATGAACATGCGGAAGACCAGGAAGAGTCCAAAAAAACTCTGCTTTGTCACTAGGTAGGCTAGGCCTATGCAGTTTCAGGTAACAGGTTAGCTTAGCTAGGCTAGCTATTCAAGAGTAGGGCTAGGTAGATTGAAGAGTTGAATTTTTATTCTCCTTGACTGTTTCATTGTTTGAGGAATCAAATTACTATGAATCACTTGAATGCTTTATGAATTTTTAAATTTAATCTGTTCCATAAAACCTAATGGTAGCAAATAAAACTTCATTGCTATGCTGCCTAAAAATTAGAAAAATTTTATTTTTATGCTGCTGTTATTAACTTCAGTAGGAAGTTTTATTTGAATTTGGAATCTTCTATTCATTTTGAAAATTTGACAGTTTTGACTTTTATATATTTATTTTTGTGAAATGATTGCTAATAAATTAGGTTCTTATTTTCTTGATGCTAAGCAAAAGCGGCAATTTGGATTGTACAAATGAATTTTTTTCTAAGAATAATGAGATTATAAAAATATTAATTAGATATCACATGTACAGCAATCCCTTGATTAACGTGGTTAATAAATCCCCGAGTTTTACCGTGTTAAGCAAAACCACGCTAATCAAACTTAAGAATATATGGGAATAATTATAATGAATCCTCAAAAATAGCAAAGGAAAGGAAAATTATGTAGTTTGATAAAAGTGAGCAGTAGATATGGCAGCGATCTTGACCAGTTGAAGGCTAACGAGTAACTAGCCCTTTACGCACTGAATTATGTTTCAAAAGTGAAGAAACAATCTGAATTACTTCTCAGATCACGCGCAGTCTTTGTGTTGTACTGGCAGTAGCGGTGCGCCTACTCCATCGAACGTCGTTCGAACGAGTTCACAACATGTGACGCTACCGTCACACTCGCGGCTAGACTCCAAACATGTAATTACTCTCGGTAGAAGCTTTTATTTTCTGTGTGACGAATTCGTCACACCAGGGCTTAAAGGGCTAGAGCACCGGCATGGCGCACTTACCGGCGAACGTTGCTGAACTCGATCATTCGAGTTATGAATGAGACAAGGCACGGTTAAACCGACTCTGTAGTCAGCACAAGTGCCTACGGAACGGGACCTTATTTAAAGAATTATTGGCTGAAATTCATAAAGTAAAAACATTTGGCAAATTTTTCCAAAAGTCGTAACAAAAGTAACAACATAAGATCTAATAAGCAAAAAGTAACACTTTTGTTACGAACGTAACACCTCTGGCTAGAGGCAAGAAAATGATGCATTGTGAAAAAAAGGCGCGCTAATCAAAACTGGCACCGCGTAGATTAAGGGTAGGTCGCAAATTTTTTTTCCGCGTTAATCAAAACCGCGGTATTCAAAACCGTGCTAATCAAGGGATTGCTGTACCATAAAATGGGGTAACTTAGACCACTTTTTTTTATAATTGATGCCATTATTTTACTAGCTAAATTAAACTTGAATTGAAACATGCAAAATACAGGTCTATACTCTAGCTTCACTCACCATAAATTGCTGGCTCCTGCCTCTCATAGTCTTTATGTAATCTCAAAAAAAGTGATGGTCTTTGTTACCCCAGCTCTTGGGGTAACTTAGACTGGGTGGTAAAATCAATTATATTTTTTGGTAAAATAACTCCAAATAACTCCAGGTTTTGGTGCATTGTAGTAGAACTCTTCTAGTTACATATGCAAATGACAAACTTGAGGAAAGTGTCATAGTTTGCAAATGGGGAGCACTGCCCCATAATGAGGGAAATGTGACTACCTAATGGCAGCCCTGATGGGGTAATATTGACTGGCTTGGAAATTAATAACCTATTAGATATGCAAACTTTTCAAATCTTTCTATTGTGTTATGTAGCCTCAGTATTAGGCCTTTAATGTCCATTGACAAAATTTTTCTATGTCAAATAGTTTTTGAGTTGTGGGGGTTTTTGTTAAAAAACGAAAAGTGGTCTAAGTTACCCCGCCGGTCTAAGTTACCCCATTTTACGGTAATGGAATAAAAAAAATGAAGACACTAATACTTCATCTCCATCAAATTTTTAAGACTAATTAGACCCAAATTTAAGCTATTTCAGTGGCTTATAACCACCACATATCATGGTATCCTAAATATCTTAGTATCTTTATGTGAAAGTTTGGAATAAACTTGTTAACATTTTTAAAAATGAGCAACTTTTCTCAACCATTTACTTAAAATGTGCTTTGAGGTTTTAATTAGATGTTGGTGGCTCCACTTGGCTAAGGGCTTTAACCCTTACTCATCTCTCCCCTATTCACTTGGCCAAGGGCTTTTACAGTTCAGCCCCTCCCCTACTCATCTCTCTCCTTAGTCCCCTTTTCATTTCTTTCTCTCATAACAGCTCAGTGCCATGAGATTCTTATAATCTATAAAATATACTATGTAATTTAGTAGTGCTGGAGACAAATTTTTTAATACCTTTTGTTTTGGGTTATAGCGTTGATGTTTGAGTCGTGCAAACCTGACTTATTTAGTTCTGGGAGTTGTTTGTTGATGAACTGCTTTCCCTCATTATCAAACCAGGCATAAATTATTATGCAAATTATGCCTTTGAAGAGTCTAATGGCTCTAACCTGTTGGTGATGTTGGCACTAATATACATACACATATTTTACCTGCAAGGACTGAGAAATAAGTATGATGACATATTTCCATACATAATTTTCCTAAACCACAAAATGATTGTTTTAATTTTTCTGTTTTGGAATAATTGTATAATAATATATAATAAATAATAATTCTGCCAATCTGCTTGTCTTGAATCCATGCCATTTCATAAATCTTTCAAGGCCGTATATGCTGAAATTTTTTCCATTGTACATTTTTAAAGCTGACTTTATGTACAAGTAGCTTTTGAATTTTATTAAAAGTAACTTTTCCTCTATTTTAATAATTATCCCTTTTCATTTTGGGTATTGTTAAATGTTAACAGTTGGATATCACTGAGAAGGCTGTAAAAATTAAATTTTGTATTAGGTAACTTTGTGCTTTCGTAGATGTGATGGCTTAGTGGACTGTAAATGAGCAGTTTTGGGGATCATTTCAAACTTACTAAGTTTAGACATGATAATCATGATAGTTATATTGTTTTGCCTATCATGTGATGGAACTTGTACATATTACTGCTGGTGCTGCATTAAAAACTGCATTGTTTTTTATTTTCATTTGCCACCTAATGGTGGAGATGATACCAGTGGCTAATATCTGGGATATATTTAATAGAATTGATTAGTTTTGTATAAGGTTACAACCATTCTGTCTACAGGCCAATGAAGTAGAAAATTTGTCATCCATGTTGATTTTCTTACAGTAATCCTGTCCCTTTAATATTTTATTTTTAAAATAGAGCACATGACTTGATGTTGAACACATGATTTGATAAAAGTCTCTGTATTATGAGCTTTATTCAGTGGGTTTTATAGCAGTATTTAATATGATTATAATTTATATCATTTTAATTTTCTCTGTTGGCTCATCTTGAGAAAATATCAGTTTCAAAATAGTATTAGGTGTCATTGAGTCATCTAATATTCTTATTGCCTACATTCGCATAAATTATACTTATTTATAAAATATTTTTTATATTTTTTCATTTGCCTCAGTGTAACCTTGTTAGTGCTATGAAGAATTGTCATTTTAGGCCATCATTGCTTTCCTCTGTGCTTGTTTGGTGATGCTGTTGTATTTCACACTTGATTCTTATTTCCACATTATTATTTATTGTTTACAATGAATCTTCTTGATTGTTTGAAATTCTTTACTGTCTTGCTGGTGTGCAAGTTTGGTGGATAAGTGTGATGTGTGAATGAGCCGAAACAATATATCAACGGTAACACTTCTTTCCTGAATTTTATGATTCCTGTAATTAATTTTTGAATTTTAATGTGTTCCCAATCTATTCTTCATATTTTGGGACACTTTGCATTTTAAGTTCTATGGCTACATCCTGATTTTTAGGTGATTAACCTAGTACAGAATGTACCGAGGCTTATAAACCTGTTTACAAATAAGATTTATTTAAGATGATTAGGAAACATTATGAAGTGATACTGTTGAAGGATCTTATTTACTATCAATCACACCTATTAGATAAGAATTTTTGATGTTTATACTGGTACCCTGTTTGATCCATGCATATTTTTGCAGCAGCAAGCTGCTCTGAACTCCAATTGAGCATATTTTAGACTACTGCAACAGCCATTTGGCTGTTAGAGATGATTATGTGCATTAAACCAATGAATTGCTGAATTTCAGAGATTTTTCTTATCTAAGGAGACTATAAGAAGTGGCAGGTGCCTGAACTTCATACGAAGCAGGGTCATAGAAAAGTCATTGGCAAAGCAGCCTCAACAATTTATCCTGCTAGAGTGGACTAGTTAGAAAGCAGATACTAATCACAGTACTGCAATCATGTAAGTAAAATAGCAGTCATATTCCACTACCACTGCTTCATCACAAAATAAAGTACCCTTATTATTGTGTTACTACTGTGGATGAATGAATGATAAGTGTTGTTTGCATTGCTGCTGGAATTGTGAATGAATTGCTGCTGAATTGTGGTATGCTCGTAACTGTTGGGAAATTTTAATTATTTAAACCCTAATTTAGATGTTCCATAATACACTCAGGAATGTTGACTTGTTCCTGAAATGTTGTTTGAAGCAAACTTCAAATGTGAACTAGGTTTAAAATAGATAAGGCTGATGGATATAAATTCAAATATGTGTAATTTTTACAATCCGCCATAAACTTGGAGAACTTTTTTTATTGTCATAACATGAAATGAAACTTCCATGTAATAGTAAAAAAGAGTATAATGACTATGGTGTGATGGCATTAATGAGTGGTTGTGCTTGGAAATGTTTGGATGTGGTTTGAGCATCTTGTTAGCTCAACTTTTATGAAAGATTTTCCCAGGAATTTTTGTTTTCAAATTGCTCCATGTCTCATGAGGAAATATTTTCTTGTTTTATAGTACCAGCTTATCTCTGCAGGTACTACAACAACACCATGTATGACCAAGGGTACAAGCCACGAGGAGGCTACAGAGTGAGTGCTCAAGCAATTTGTGCTTAGATTTTCATTTTTCACTGAATTTATATACCATGAAGAGTTCATATCCATACATGGAGTACTGACATCAATTCATTTAATTTAACAATCCAAAAATGATTATTTATATTTTATTTCCAAATTGGTAGTGCCTGCATATTATAAAATTAACAATTTTCCTTCTAGAGATGTTTTAGACTTGAGACACTTGAGAAAACTCATTATGTTGAAACATACATAGTCTTGGATAACATAATAATAATAATGATTAATAATTATATTCTCTGCAATTCCTCAAAATCAACTTGTGTTTGTCTGATAGTAATTTGCACATGAATCATGTTTTCAGGGGTCACCTCGCGGCAGTAGTGGAGGTGGTGCTCGTGGGGGCCGTGGTGGCTGGGGCGGCTCTGGCGGTAGCTACTACAGTGGTAGTGGTAGTGGTGGCCAGATCGACTCCTTCAGAGGAGGTCGTGGAGGTGGCTACCGTGGTAGCCGAGGAGGTATGGGTGGCATGAGTAGCGGCTACCGTACCAGTGACACTGGTGGATATCGTGGTGGCTCCACTGGTGGATACAGAGGTGGCTTCCGAGGCAGCATGCAGCAGAGCAGTTACAGTCCTCGTGGCGGTGCAGGCGGGTGAGTCCTGTTACTTGTATACTAGTTTGTACTCGTACTTGTGTAATTAGATTTTGGCTCCTTAATTTGTAACTATAATCAACCTTGAGTGAAGCTGACTATTCATTCAACAAACAATCAATTTTTAGCTCATTTTCTCATTTATGGAAAAGAAGGCGCTATGGTGCTCATCCGTCCGTCTGTGACTTCATATCACAGACACAAGAAAATGCATTCTGTCACTCACTGCAGTGCATACTGATCTAATTTTTTTTTCTCCCCATGATCCCGGCTAGCTTTCTTTTCTGAAGAGTTTATTTCAATAAATTAGCATTTATTTAACAAAGACAATGTACACGAGTAATAATTTCCAGATATTATGGTGGCGGAGGATACCAGCGTGGAGGCATGCGAGGTTCAATGGGTGGTGGATACAGAGGACAGCCTTACAGGGGAGGCATGGATCACAGCCGAGGAGGCATGATGAATAAGGTAAGTTTGTTGACTGTTTGTTACTCAGGCCTTGGAGAAGCATTTTTAGTGCATTTTCTCATTTATGGAAAAAACATAACTCAGTACTCACTGCAGTGAGTGACAGAGAGCGCATATTCTCGTCGACGAAAATGTGGTCACGGACGGGCGGACGGACGGACATGACGAGCACAATAACGCCTTTTTTCCAAAAATGCGCTAAAAAGGTGCTATTGTGCTAGTCATGTCCGTTCGTCCGTGACTTCACGTCACGGACGGACGAGAAAATACTCTCTCTCTGTGACTCACTGCAGTGAGTACCGATCTAATTTTTAGCGCATTTTCTTTTTTATGGAAAAAATGCACTATTGTGCTCGCCATGTCCGTCTGTCTGTCCATACGTCCGTGACCTCATGTTTTTGTCGGCAAGAAAATGCGCTCTCTGTCACTCACTGCAATGAGTACTGAGTTATATTTTTTAGATTTGCATCTGCATGTATTATACCGGCAAGCAACCTTGATGTTGTAGCCCTTTTCTCCATTCATTAATATCACTGACTTGCAAGTCTTGAAATTTCAGAATAATATTCTAATTACTATTTTTATCAGTTGTGTCATTAAATCGTGTAGGTATTAATGTTGGTAAACTTTGAAGATATTTTATAAATAAACTTCCCTCCCCCTTTCTAAGCTTGTCTCAAATGACCTCGAGAGCTCATCTACTGAGGTAATTTGAGCTCAATACAAAGGGGGTAGATTAATATAAGAGGTCAGGACTGACTGCCGTCGAGAGTGGGCTGCTCAGTAGTATACCTCTTGCACAGCACAATTATGTACTAATCATTAAAACTTAGGTATCTTCAAATTGAAATGATTAGTTTAGTCTATTGTTTATGTGACAAGTAAAATTTTTATTTCAGAGATTTTTACAAGAATTGTGATATGACGGATTCAGCCTATGTGTTGACCTCTTGCACAGCACAATTGTATACTATTTATTAAAACTTGATTACTATTATCAAATTGGAATGATAAGCTTAGTCATTTGTTTATGTGACTAAAATTTCTATTTCAGAGATTTTTATGAGATTTGCGTTATGACGAGTTCAGCCTGTGTGTTAGTTCCATTTCTAATGTTATTATTTTGTATTAGGTACATTGTTCCATGCTTGTACTTCTCATTTCTTCTGATAGGGAGAATTTATTTCAGTTTTCTTATTTCCACAATTTTCTTTTTTCAGTTTCACCCACAAAATCGCCAAGGCTCTGGCGCACCATATAGGAAATCGGAGATCACATTATTTGAAGAGGTCAGTTAATGCAAATTTCTTAATGCTAGGGTGTTTGCAATAAGAGCATTGATGATTTAAAATTAATACAGAATTCATACATTTTTTTCGAGTGAAATGATTTTTCTATAATTATTCTGTAATTTTTTTTTATATATATATATATAAGTTTTGTTCTTGGCCTATAATTAGTCGTAGAATGTAAAAATCTTGAATTTAAGAAAGTAATTGTCCAGATTTGTTTTGAGCAAATAATGAAATATTCCGCAATTACCTCGTTCTCTTAGCTAATTCCCTCAATATTACTAACAAACTTTGTTAAGTCAGTTAGTTCTTCAATTAAATCGAATTCCATATGCTGCACAAGCTGTGTAGCAATCCTATTTTGAAAGTTCTAGTAAATTAGTATTAAACAATCCTTCGTTGTCTGAACATTTGAGATTCATTTCTTCATCTGCTACCAGCTTCCTATCTTTAAAGCTATCGGCAGCTACCAAGATCATTGTATTTTATTTATTTGTATATTTATTTCAATTTTATTTCTATTGTGTTGCTCAATAATCAATTTTCTACAGGCATTGGATTTGGACCAAAGAAAAAGGATGGTTAAGCTCACCCTTGATAATAAATTAACCAGAAAAGATTTTGAGGAGCTCATGCAGATGGAAGGAGTCATTGATCTCCACATGAATGGGTTTGTTATGAAATCTTGTTTGAATGATTTTTGGTTTTGTTATGAAATCTTCGAGTGATCAAAACTGCCTTCCATAAAGTTTGACCACTTAAAATCCTAAGATCGCTTATGAGCCTCAAACATTGCAACAAAATACTTATCTTTAAAGCCATCATAAATGATCGGGAGTGTTGCGCAAAATACTCATGTTGTCGCATTTATATGTTGGCAACTGGGCTAATTGGAGTAGGATGAGTCTCCAATTAACACTAATAAATAATCAACCATGCACAGTCACATGGTGGCGGACTACCCGGAAGAAGACGAGGACAGAATGCTGCAAGTGTTCCAAGAAGCTGAAGAAATAACTCAGAACGGCATTCCGTGCTACGCAGACTTGACAGGCAGGCGTAGTAAAAATCACGGCAAGGAAGGTGTTCGTGACTTGAGGAGAGTTGACGTCAGGAATTTGCCAGAGAAAACCACCATTGATATGGTCAAGGAAGCCTTCCCAAGCGCCTTGGTTGTATGGAAAAACCAAAAATTGTAAGTCAATCCTAGATGAAGGATGATTTTTGAGTTGGTTATTTTAATTTTGCTTGAACAATTGGTTCATTTGATCCCTTGCATACACGATGATTTTTTAAAAAAAGCGTTCTAGGAGTGATGCAGCACTTGATTATTATCAATATTGTTTCACTCCTGCATTGATATCACGCCTCAATAATTTTGATACTTATGTGTAAGTAATGTTACTTGTTTTTGTTTACAGTAATTGAAATCGTCATTTTCTCTTGGTAGCAGTTCATGTTAACGCTACTGCTTGCTTGCATCGTTTTCTGCTAACGTGATTACATCTTGTGTGCAGTAACTTCATTGAGCTATTATTTGCGAACGAAGAGGAAGCGTGCGAGGCAATTTTAAGCGGCCAACAAAAAGAAATAAACGGCGTGTTGCCGTACGTGATGTTCCATAGGGAGAACCAAGCTGATCTCACAAAACGTCCGCGCGAGGACGACACAACACAGCAGCCAGCTGCAAAGAAGGTTAAGGTGGGAACAGTGCGGCCTTGTGCTTGTCTCATGATTTTCAATCCACTAATTTCGCTTGTTTACCCCATGGTTCAGGATTGCAATTTTAGCCGTTATGGTTTCAAGATGAGAAATACTATGCTAAATTGCTAAGTAGACTATTCTTTTTTTTTTGGTGGTCTATGTCGAAAGAGTCGAAATTTATTGTGATTTTTTTTCGCCAACCAAGATTGAAACATAATTAATGTATATTTTGTTTGAAATTTATGTTTTTAATTAACATTCAAATTTTTCCAGTCACTATGTATTCATTTGGAAGGATTAAATTCTCATTTCTTTGTTGCGTTTCTTCAATAACGCTTGTTGGGATTATAGCATAACTATCATGGTAGTTCCATTTGTTGATATGAATTGGCCTCGCCTAGGAAGTAAGGATTGTGAGATTGTGATTGTTAGTTAATATATATCAAGGAAAAAACGATGATGTGGGTGATGAGCTGGCACATCAATGAAATTAAGCCTTACTGTGTTCATAATCACTTACAGTATTTAAATAATGCAACAAAATAAATTATAATTACTTTCACTAACAGTAAATATTATATTAGTTCCTTACATCTGTTAATCGGTTTAGAAACTTTGTTGTTCGATTGAAAAATATGTATACAACTCCCACAGAAGGACGTGGAGGCGGGAGAGAACGAGAACGGAGAAGACGACCAAGTCCATCATGATGCAGAGGAGGAAGAAGAAGAAAATGGTGGTGACGAAGCGGAGGAAGAAGAAGCCGCCGAAGAGTAGTTACTAAACTTAATTGCTTCTTTTTACGAAAATAATGCGTGTTCCCTTCCGAAGATCCTTTATTTTTGCCTGCAAACTCTCTCAATCATATATCTTCAGGTATGAGGCGCGAACGGCTCTATCGTTTGAAATATCGTGCACCCAAGTTCTACCTTTCAATCATCAATAACTGAGCATGCAAGAAGATTCGTGTTGTTCTTATGTTACTATAAATGACATTGGTCTCTATGGTAAACGCATGTTACGGTAGTTTTACCTATTCATGCGTGCTGCATATGACGTTAGATAACCAGAACTTGATTGAAATGACAATTCAAGGTACAGACCTGGTGACTGTTGAGCAGTGTTACCAACTTGTCGTATCATCTGTGCACCATACGAGTCATCAATATAAATGTTAGGGTGTGGAATCTGATTCTGCAATGTAACATAGTCGTATGTCCTGATGTCCTCATCCTAGCGCGTGTGCTGCCTGACATTGTGAACGGTTGTCTGGAATGTTTTTATTTTACTAGAATTAGATAGTGCGTTAAACTCATTCGTATTGAAGATCATCTCCGGGGAATATCTTGTAAATGAACATTCAGTCGTATAGAGAGTAATTGCATATGATAAGCGACACCCGTTGACTCCACGTAATCGTGGAGGCAATCTCACTTTACCGGAGGTTTCAATACCTTATTCGCGTGTTATTTATTCATACATTTTGTGTTTTAAAATTCCATCGGCTATGAGAAAATTAATTAGGAATTAATATGCATTATAAAATTGCAATTATTTGCCTATGCAGTAATTTGAAGTATTGAAATGTCCATTTCTTTTCATCCTTAACAAAACTTTATTCGGCGTATGGAATTATTGGGGGATCTTTATGAATCGATTCAAACGTATAACATTCTTTACATTGCTCTCTGCTTTGGATGATAGTATTATTAGTGACTGGTAACTCGACAACGAAACGTCACGATGTAATGACCGATCATTGTAATATGGTCGTTCGAAAGACAAATTTTTCTGGTAATTTTTATTTATGTGAACATTAATAGTACACGTTAATTTTTGCTATCATTAAGCTTTTAACTATAATTGTAAACGAAAGTACAGAAAACCTACAAATTTTGCCTCATTCAATACTCCGTTCAGAAATACTAATTTAAAATAGTGTAGATCAAACATGCTCCTCCTTTTCCTATCGACTTCACTTATTATTAGGTGCTTAGTCCAGTTGAAGTTGACTCAGCCGGCAAAAAGTTTGTATCTTGTCGGAAGCAGCACCCAGAATGGTTTTCCTGTTCTGTGATGAAAGTATGGGCTTAGGAGTATATATTTTAGAAATTAAAGTAAGGCCTCTGCCCGTGGCACGCAGTGCTTTTCATAATAAATAGTATGCTGCCTGACTGTAAATCAATTGCTGAACATAAGATAAAATTCACAAATTTAAGCATGCCTTCTCGATGCCAAATTTACCTTTGCAACAGAACAGTAAAAAATTTAGTATTCCAGAACTGAGCTGTAACAAATTTTTGAGGATAAAAATAATAGTCCATAAAATTACTCAGACTGAAAGCAAAATTAAGTATATGTACTCGACACTTCCATTGTCATAATAATCATGTTAATAGACTGACCGTCGGGAAGTAGATGCAGAGTTTGCTCGCACTTGTAGTATCGATTTGCATCCTTCGGTGCCCTCATTGAAAGCAGCTGTACTTTCATCACAGTTTGGACGCCAAACTCCGCGTCAATGTAATCAGCATACGATTCTCTTGGTATTTTGTGGAGGTGTTTCTTCCCGGGTTTCTGGAAATTGAGGCTGTATGTAGCTCAATGGGTATGCTGAACGTAAAGTTATCATATGGAAACTAGAAACTGCAAAGAAAAATTAGAATACTGGGCGGAGATTATCATGTGCCAATTCAATCATCAGAGAACACGAAAATGATATGACAGGCTTCCGATGCTGGCATGTGTTTTATTCGTTTTTGCTGTTCAAGAAATATTTCATGGATTTCAATCGAGCGGAGTCATTTTCGTACAAATCATGGACGTTAAATGGAAAGTTTCCTTGCGTCCATCTGAGTGGAATACCTAAAGTACGAATCAATTATGGCATGTGGTATCAACTGAGTGATTCAACTCAAGTGCATTCGACTCCGCCAGAAACGCCAGCATCGAGTGTGTTTGGCTAATAGCCAGGAGACGTACCCGCATAAATAAGTTATTGTTGATAACACCTCTTCGCATGTTAGTCTAGGCACCTTCAAGTATTTAACGTACGTAGGCTATTTTAGCCGCTGTTAGATGAGGGTGCCATTTATTTTTCTTATCCTCCACTTCAATGCCTGCTTCCGTGAACAATCTTCTTGCAACATCACGTAAATCTTCCAGCTGCTTGAAGCCGGCGTCTTCAGCTACAGAAACGAACACCACCTATTGGCAAATTTCTAGATCAGTAGAGAAAAAGGGAGCGCTGCCGTAGCCCAAAAATTTGACTCTTAAATCAGCCCAAAAGCCAATGCCAACCCTCTACATGCAATAGAAATAGTCAGTCTAATACAGGTGGAAGTCTAGTAGCTTCTTCAAACTATCACCAGTCATGAAAAGATCCGGTCAAATGACACGATTATAGATCTACTGTGAACAAGGCACGAAAAGGAAAAGAATCGGCCACAGGCCACATCAGGCCTACATTTCAGCGCCGAGATCACTATGTTATGTTATGAAAGAATAGTCATGCCACCTGAGCATAGAAAGATACTATCAGTGTGAGATTAATTCAATCTTATGAAATATTAATTGCTGTTGATTAATTGATTGAATCTCATGTGGTTAAATTTAAAAAGGATCATTCATTGACGTTTAAAAATCTATTGACCTATTAGTTCAATTTGCAGTAACACTTATTTTTTTCAAAGTAGTGTGGACAAACCCTGTTGCGAAAATTTCCGAGATGCTTGAAGTTTAGAACAATGTGGGGACAGCCCTCGTCGGTCTTCAATTTATCTCCCAACTGCGTCAAGCACATTCTCGCGCTGTCCAATTGCTCATCCTCGAGATTGAAGACGAATAAAGTCAAGTGCATGGTTGCCACGTCAGTCAGATATGACTGGAGCAGCGGTTCTGTTGACAACATCTTCTGCTGCAATGCCAAAACTCTTTCGTGTATCTGCAGGAACAGAAATAATTACGATTGCGTTGAACTCCGAGACTTCGTTCTGCCGCAAAATGTTTCATGTCGCTTCTTCGTCAAGTTTACTGAGGTCCTACCTGCAGCACAAAGAACTTTACTTCTCTGTCGTATTCGAACATATGTTATTAGATAGGCTATAAAATGTTTTCATTTCATAAAAAAAATTAAAATCAACAAATGGCAGGTTTTTCTCTGCCGAAAATCGAAACTCATTACATTGCATTTCAGGAAGACGTTAAAAGGTTAGGTGAGCAGCAGCTCGAACAAATGCACTTGTCCAAGGCGACGATCATACGGCATTTTGTACGTTCACGCAAGGGGGCAGAAAGGAAGTGCAAGAAATCTTACCTACATAATTTGGCCCCACAAAAGACTTGCAGCCTGGTGCATGAGTTTTTGTGATAGTCGTTCAGAGCAATGATACCCTTGGAAAAACCAATCATCAGACATCGGGTTTTGTTAGATGAACCACCGCGTCATTGACACAATTCAACTCACGGGTTAGGAGCAGGGAAAGATTAGTGAACACGAAAACAGGGTTTCTTAGTACCTGTAGCTTTAAACAAGTAGCAATTTTTTAGAATCGTTAGAGGAACATGGACCTTCAGTGATTGATTAGTTGTTTTGCCAAGAAAAACTCACCTTCGGGTTTGAGACAGGGATACCAACAAAATAGTTCGGTTCGGTGAAGCTCGAGCCACTTTTGCCATGCTTACGCTTGTATTTACCCTCAGACTTTGACAAAGCAGTCATGGCTCCACCTTCACTTTTGTGTATCCCATCTATCAGGGACGGCAATACTAATCTGTCCTCAGAGTGTGCAGAATCATCACTGCTGGCGGCAGCAATCTTACTTAGTCCTGCACAAACTGTCTCTGCAACTTCAGATCCTTCAGCTGTCGCAGCAACCTCAGACCCTTCAACTGTCGCAGCAACTTCAGATCCTTCAACTGTCGCCGAATCTTCTGATCCTTCAACAGTCACAGCAACTTCATATCCTTCAACTGTCGCAGCAGCTGCAGATCCTTCAACTGTCGCAGCAACTTCAGATCCTTCAACTGTCGCAGCAACTTCAGATCCTCTAACTGTTGTTGCAACTTCAGATCCTTCAACTGTCGCCGGAACTTCAGATCCTTCAATTGTCGCCACAACTTCAGATATCTCGACTGCCGCCGGAATTTGGTTCTTGTCAGTATTCTCCTCTATATCCATGTTGTCTTGAATATTCAAGATTTCCTGTTGTCGGACACGTTCACCAAACATGTGGTGTTGAGTGGTTGGGAGTGTAAACTTCTGGCAGAAAAGTTTAACTGTCGAGTGCTGAAAGCGCAAACGCTGAACTATGATGAGAACAATTGATGAGACACAGGTATCATGAATGATTATTTGGAATGCACATGGGTAGAGATAGCACAGCTGTTCTTTGCATTCAAAAAATTTTTCGGGGCTAGATTTTTTCAGTCGTTCTTGAATTTTCCAATTGAAGGCACGAAGTTTCAGCAGGTATTGAATAGATTCTGTTAACATTCTCATACTTGAATGAGCTCTGGGACCGTTGGTGGCGCGGCCCTGTATTTGAGGCAATTTTTATACTGCAGGAGTTTTCGATGCACCAGAGCGAGGCTCAGGTTTATATACTTCAACTGAGTGGCTGTTAACCTTTCATTACTCTAGTACTATTTGCTACGGCCACTGCGCACCAAATGAATGGCTACAAGCCGCCAATAGGATAACAAAAATCGTGCAAGACCCAAAAATATTCGCATATCAACAGTGAGGCGCCCACAATAACTCGTGGAGGCTAGCGTAACACTGGCGACATTCGTACCCCACGAACCACTGCTTTAACTTTCATCAGTGCATTCCAGTACTTACATGACAATGCTTAGGCTTGAGTAGAATATTAATGGTTACGATAGCCGCCTTATGACTTCTCTTAGCCGCCTTAATCCCAACTAAAAACCCGTGAATGTTACAAAGAACTAGAGGATACAGTAAATGAGGTCAAAACTTGTCAGCAGTTTTCACCTAGCCGCTGTCAATAACGCAGAATTTAAAATACAATAATACTAGATTCATTAGTAGCATTAAAAAAAATAATACATAACACTGGGTTCATTCATTACCCGCAAGTCGTGGAAAGTATCAAGTGAACAGTCTTCTGAAACCAGCAAGACAGAAGCATTGTTTGCATCTCACAGAGGCGAAGACGAATCGGTAAAAAACAACGGAAACAAAGACACTCTTGCAATAGGTCGCTTACACGAGACGTCGTCCACCCCAATGAGAGGCAGAAAGTGAAATTTGAAGAATCCTACCTACATGACTCAACCCCACAACTGCCATGAGGCCCCTGGATACTCAACAAACATGACCCCACAACTGAGACCCGCTGCCAAACACCGCGAGCTCAGCGGTTGTGCGCTCAGGAATAACACCCCTAGGAATGCGAAATCCCATTGGACTTCTGACGAGCACAGACGCGCGCCAGAAGACTACCTTGAGGGGTCGTATCATGATACAGTTCTAAATGTATATTACTCATTGATATACTTCAAGTGATTCTGATTGTACTTGTCAATACTCTGTAGATAACTAATGCCATTCAGATTCAACCACGATACTGATTAAAGTAAAAATTTGAATATAAATACTTGATATTTCTCACATTCACATCGTTTAGTCCCACACGAGCATTCCACAATTTAGAGTTCTCCTGAACCTAGCAAGGAACCAACGGACTAGTATTAGAGGGATAAATAAGGGCATTGTTGGATCGAGGGTTTACTGCAGACAACAGATGCACTACAGACGACGACCGCGACGACCACCCTTCCTCCTGGTGCAGTCGGAGGGCACTGGCGTCACATCCTGCACATAAATGTAATCATTAGCTAAGGTATCCATGAAAGATATTTTTAGCGCATTTTCTCTTTTATGGAAAAAGGCGCTATTGTGCTCGTCATGTCCGTCCGTGACCACGTTTTCGTCGACGAGAAAATGCGCTCTCTGTCACTCGCTGCAGTGAGTACAGAGTTATATTTTTAAGAAATCACTATCAACAAGAAAAGAGGCTAGGCGGCTTATTTAAATTATGTTACAATAATCTAAGTGCAAGTAATAGCAAGTTTTCTAGCGATTAGGAAAATCTTGATCTATTTGGTGCCAGAGGTCCAGTTCTTCAATTGCAATCAACCAGAATACGAACAACTTTAATAACTTTATTCCAACAATACTGTAAGTCTGCTAAATAGTTGACTCAACTGAATCTAAAACAAAAATACTGTTTCTTACAAAGTGATATCTCCTTTCATGCAATGCTCTTAGGGGAAACCTGCTGCTTAAATTCAAAACTGGTCACTAAAAAATTGCTTTCTAGGTTCCCCGACAATCCTGGCTCACAAGGCAGGACCTACTCAAAATGATCATACTCAATCTTCAACTATTGTGGTTTGTTGGCAGCAAGACTACAAAACGATTTCAACAATTCTATTTCTATCTAAGCTCTAAGGATTCCTTCCTGTTGCATATAATCGTTGAAATAAAGGGATAAAGGGGACTTGAATATAGAGAAAAATACAAAAAATCTATTCAAAAATTTTCATTTGATTGTATTCCTCCCACAATTTACAACTCAATTATTTACAATTTTAATTTTCTAGCAGATTACAACATATCATGAGGCTAAATTCTCCAGTGTCATCAAATGCTTAATAAACTGATTCAATATAATGGTAATAGAAGAATTGAAATTAATTTATTAATTAATTAGTTTCAAAGTACAACATATCACTTGAAGATACAATTTAACATGTGCCAGAGCGTGTTAACTTGAGTATCAAACATCATACATGATCACACAGCTAGGATAAAGGATTTGAAAATTACAGTTGAATATCAGAGTCGGAAGCAACTTGTGCTTCCAAACACAATTCAGAACACGAGTATATCTACTCTACGAGTATATCTCAGAACCCACCTCGATCCTGCCAATCTTCATACCAGCACGTGCAAGGGAACGCAACGCTGACTGGCCACCAGGTCCTGGGGTCTTGGTCTTGTTGCCGCCAGTAGCACGGATACGGATGTGCAGGGCATTAATTCCTAGGGTCTTGCACTTGTCAGCTACGTCCTGCAATGGCCAAAGTAATTAGAAACTAAAACATTTAAAAAATAATTCAATATTATTGGTAGTTTAAAAAAATTTACGTTTAAAAAATTACTTTTTAAAGACAACATTTCTAAAGAATCCAGTGTCTCCACTGTTAAAGATGTACAATGAATTTCTCATTTCATTTTCGAAAATTAAAAAAAAAATAATTTTTCAAAATTTTTTAACATATACATTTTTTCAAAATTATTCATTCTGTCAATTGATTTACGCATTGCCTCCGACTTCACACAAGTACGCAAAATTTCAGATCAATTGGACTGGTGGAAGTGTGTCAAATATCATGTATAACATTTGTAGCTGACAAAATTATTTTGTCAATTTTTTTAATATTGAAAAAAAAAAAGAAATTTTAATTTTCAAAATTATTTATTCTGTCAACTGATTCATGCACTGTCTCCAACTTTACGCAAGTGTGCAAAATTTCAGATCGATTGGACAGGTAAAAGTGTGTTAAATATCGATTATAAGATTTGTGGCAGACAAACAAGTTAGTTAGTTTAGTGGCCAAATGTTTACTAGCGCTTCAGCTATTAAGCAATCTCGCACCGAAAGTCAAGATGAACATCACCATAGAGGTGGAAGGTCTCAATTATTCATCACCCACAAGGGGCGGAAGGTCTCAGATGTCCAGCCCGCTGAAGCTGGCTACTGCAGTCAGACACCGCGAGCTCAGCGGTGGGGCGCTCAGGAACAATCCACCTAGGAGCGCGAAATCCCATAGGACTTCTGACGCGCACAAACACGCGTCAGAAGTCCCCCCTGAGGGGGCAGACAAACAAACAAACAACAAGAAGTGAAGTTAAAGAGAAGTGTTGTAAAAAATAATTGAAACCTTTCACCCTTTGATACAAGGAGATCTTTCTAGGTAAAAATTACATGCTATTCAATGAACAAATTAGTCAACAAATCTGGTGAAAAGTTTATTTGAAAGCATCTAGGCAATTTTACATCAAAGTACAGTGTACAAACTATGGCAGTGAGATAAAAACTTCCTGTTCAGTTAGTAACCAGATCGTCAAAATATCTAAAAAAACTTCAACAATTAAATGCAATAAAAATCAAAGTTATAAGAGACCAAAAATATTACCCAGCAATCAAACTATATTTGTTACATAACAGGTATGGATGCTTCAAGAAAAGGTGGAAGTAATTTAATAAAAACGCACCTGAGCAGCAAGAAGAGCAGCATAAGGCGAGGACTCATCACGATCAGCCTTGACTTTCATACCACCAGTGACTCTTACAATGGTCTCACGCCCTGACAAGTCTGTGACGTGCACAAATGTGTCGTTGTAGGAGGCATAAATGTGGCAGATGGCAAAAACGTTCTCGCCCTCACGAACTTGAGGTCCGAGGGAAACTTGGACTTCTTCTTTAACTACTTTTCCCTTACGAGGAGCCATCGTGTGCTATCTGCAAAAATAGTAAAACTCAAGTTATTCAACATTTAAGTAGAAATATTCAACAAGGTAATTAAAAAGCTCAGCCCAATAAGGCCCCAAAGCTCTGTTTGTATGTGTGACTATATTATCATGTCACTGCCCTATCACAAAACATTGGTCTATTTTGAAATTATTCAGGGGTATCAAGAAATAGTTCCTTGACAACATCATAAAATTTATTCCATTTGCAATTTTTGAAAAATGATCAAAAAGTCTACAAGGGCATTACAATTACAAATACCTAATGACATGTTTACTCTATAGGAGGCTGAGTTGTTCTTATAAATTGTGAAACATTTTAAAATAATGTTTCTGATATTCATAACTGATTAATAATTTTTGCATCATATTTTAAAAATTATCAATATTATATATCTATCAATCATGAATTTTAAATACAGTTTACCTATATGGGATTTTAATCAAGAATTCCATAAGCTTCCTGCTTGTAAATTATAATAATGCCAAAATTCCAAAAACATCTACTGTCAACCAGGGCTACTTGGGAAGATTTCAAACGTTTTCCATTCATAACTTCTTACCATGAAACATTTCATAAACAAGTTTAGCCTCATTTTAAAGCTCTTTGCAAGGGCTATCACATGGCTTCTCCAAAAAATTCCATATGCTATTTGTAAGGTGCCAGAAGCAAAAAAAGAGTGTACCGAGTAGCCCTGTCAAACGGGGCTACTCGGGACACTTGGAATAAAACTTCACTTTAAAACATTTGAAGCATGCAGAGTGTACTTGTCCATTACTAACAGTACTCTGAAGTCCTCTTTCATTGTAGATGATGTAAAGGTAGAATAAATGACATTTTCTGTGATTTTTACTTCTTTTTCTTTTATCGATATATTACCATATACATTAATTACCGTATTATTGATGCGATATTACCGTATCCATGAACATGCCATTGAGCATTTACAACAACCTTGTCCACTGCAAGCTTCATATCAGCAGCCTTATAGCATTTTTTCTGACTCTGTAAGCTTACAGGATGACTTGTAATTTCACACCATTTTAATTGGGTTAAGTGAATTTACTATAAAAAAAAGAGATTGTGAAAAACATACCTGAAAAAGAATTACAGAAAGGAATGTTTAGTGACAACCATCATATGTTTTGGAGAAATAAATCATAGTTCAGGTCAATTACTTTTCATTCTATGATGCCTGGTGCACAATTCTATATATGACATTCTATGCACAATTTTGTGATGACTGATGATGCACTAATTTTTCGATAAGTGAAATTTTTTTGCTGAGCGAAGCTGTGTGAGCTGTATTGGAATACAACACAGCTTTGAATTAGAACACTAATGAATATTGAACACTACTTAATTACGCTTTTAATTAACAACTATTAAGCTTTTAATTAGGCAAATTTTAATTTTGTACACAGTACACAGCTTGGAACAATCTGTGTGTGTCCAATTCAAGTTGTGACGGAATTAGTTTTCATGTGTCTAAATCCATTTCTCAACTTAGTCATCTATTTACTATTAATTTATTTACCACTTGAAATCAGTGAATACAAGTATACTTAAAGGATTCCTAATATATTCACAAATCACAGACATAGGCTATTTAAAAGTCTCAAACCATAATATTCTTCTTATACAAACAGTTATTCACTACCTATTTGGTAGAGCAAGGTCAACTGTCAAATTTGACACATTTTTTGATGATCTCACTGGGTAGCGTGCATTGTCTCTCTTTGGATCTCAATATTTTCCCGCTAGATGGCCAAGACCTAGTGTTTTGGCAGTAGTTTGACGCGCAAATGTATGACGTCACCATTTCAACCATCAACGAACGCTTGGAACTAAAACAAAGCTTAATATAAAGGAAAAACTAGAGAGGTGACAAAATTCCCCACAATGTCGGAATATACCACGTTTACCCTATCTAAAAAGTTAGAAGAAATAGTAGTCACATTTTAACCTAGGCCTATGGCTTTTGAAACTAGCTAGCCCTATTGAAATTTGAAAGTAACCATCACTGGAATGATTTTAATTTAGAATTTCTGGGAAATTCTTTCCAGTGCCCACTACCTACCTATTCCACATTTTTATTCCATTCAAATTGAATTTTTGGTAACTTGAAGCTGCTTCAATGATTACCTAGCTATTTCTATGATCTAGCCTATCATCCAACTTCCAAGTAGTTAAAATTTTTGTCTTGTCTTCATCCAATATTATACACCTAGCCTTGACCTAGGTACTCATTTTATTACCGATATTAATTCTACCAAGCTACAGAATTAGCTGAGTGGCTAGGTTAAATGCTGTCTATTTCAGTATTTGTCATTAATAAAAATTACCACTGCCGTTTGAATATTACTTTTTCCAGGAGAATAAATTTCTTCATTTTAGAGATTTCCGTTCATTATCAATCATTGCTAACAGCAGATAAAAATTTTCGTATATCATAGGCTGAAATTTTTATGAGATTACAAATGAATTATTGAAGCGGGCCGGTTTTATAGAAATATATTTCCCAGGAACGGTCCCAACTAGACTCATGACGAAATAACAATGTTCCAATTTTACAAGCACCAGGATAAATAGTCGAAGGAACCAAGGGTATTTTGCAATGAATTGAAGCTATGCAAGGAGAATAATAAAATTTACAAAAATCACTTGCACACATACCTGAAATTACTTTACACTTATAAATCCCACTCGCACTCGTCCTGTAAAAACACTGAAGAAAGAAAACAAGAAATGTTGCCACAAAATCGTTCCTTATGAATTCAAAACAAATTTTCGATAAAGGAATAACATATCAATATAATGATATTTTTTGCCAAATTGCGCCTTTTTCGCTGGAATGTCATCAAAACTGTAATTAAATTGGCAAAAAGTGTCTAATTGCTTCTACACATTTCATTAGAGATTAAAAAAATACGCTAATCAACCAAAGAATCTAGCGGCAGTTCTTTGATTACACAACAAGCAATAACTTTTATTGAGTGTAATAAAATGCAAATAATTAATTTAAATAATTTGTGTGAAATGGTCCTTTCGTAACGGCTATGCGTTTTACAAACTTTTATTGTATTTTTTTTTACAGAATCGCAGTAAATTAGGACTAAATAATGCATTTCTGTTGGAAAAATAATTAAATATATGTTGATGGTAAAAATTCTATAAGCGGGACTTGAGAGTCCCGGTAGTAAATGGTTGCAACTGAAGTGACAGATTTTGCGACATTAGCCTGCAACAGTGTAGCTGCACTTCTGTTGTTATTTGCTGAAATGTATCTTTTACATGCAATGCTTGGCTCTACAGGCAAATTTGAAGTTCGGATAATAGAAATTCAGCATTATCGGCAACATATTTATTGTTATAAATAATAATTTTGCGAAAAAATATTAATCTACTATACATACTTTAGTTGTTGAATGACATATCACAAAGTTCCGGTGGCTGACGTGTGCACTAGCTTATAATGACATGTCACAAAGTTCCTTTGGCTGACGTGTACACTAGCTTATAGTGACACGTCACAAAGTTCCTTTGGCTGACGTGTGTACTAGCTTATAATGACATGTCACAAAGTTCCTTTGGCTGACGTGTGCACTAGCTTATAATGACATGTCACAAAGTTCCTTTGGCTGACGTGTGTACTAGCTTATAATGACATGTCACAAAGTTCCTTTGGCTGACGTGTGCACTAGCTTATAATGACATGTCACAAGGTTCCTTTGGCTGACGTGTGCACTAGCTTATAATGACATATCACACTAAACAGCTAAAAATAATTAACTTATCACAATAACCAGGTAAAAATATGTTCCTTTTGGAGTTAACATAGGTGAAGCTACAGAAGTAGCTACACCTGAAGCTACAGAAGTAGCTACACTCTACTACAATTTATGGTCGTTTATTGATGTACGACAGGCAAGCAAAAATGCAATCAGTGATTATTATCAATGCAGAAAGTCTTTCACTGAAGAAACTCTATGAAGCAGTTTTTGCAGAGTTACAGCAGAGATGCAGTTTGGAGTGTTCACATTCTATGGCAAGTCTTGCTTCTTCTCCCTTCTTCGAGCACACTTGACATCTGCTCCTGAGGCCTGGACACATTGAACTGAGGCCAAAGTTCTCCTACATTAGACAATCTCACTGAAACTGGAATAGAGAAGTCACTCTTTCTAGGTCCTTTGCAGCTTGCTGTTGGCTTTGTTGAAAATGTCAGGAGTCCAGTGCCCAGTTCTTTCGAGTAATCCAGGAGACTAATCGTTCGGTGTCCAGCATCTTTATACAGTATAAATGAATTGATTATGGCCATGTCGAGCAATCAAAAGAGATCCGTGGCATTTTCTTCAGAAGTGATCTGTATCACAAATTGTTCATCATCGTCGGACGAGGGTGCTATATTGTGAGAAAGCACTGTAATGTTCTCTGCAGGTTCATGGTCACTCTCAACATCAGCATTAGAGCTAAAATTACTTTCAATTTCCTCCAAGATTGGAGCAATCAGCAATCTCCTCGTCCATTATAGGTACCTCCTCGTCATATTTACCTGAAACCGAAAATACTTATCAGTACAACAAATAAACAGATCGCTCTCAAACTATGACATGGTATAAAACTAAACCAAATGAAAATCATCCGTATAAAATTAATAACTGAAGCACATATACTGAGTGTTACAGCCCGACGCAAAAGGTTAGCCCCACCCCTTTAAAACATCATAACACATCGAGTTTTGCGAGTTTTATTGTGCAAATGGTGGCAAACGAATCGTCTTGGTCTCAGTAATTAAAATACAATTGACTGTAGTGAAAATGTAATTAGTAACGGAGAAAATTAAAAACACATGTTTTTGCACCGACGCAAAAGGTTAGCCCCACTTTGTACACTTTGACATTTTAGGCAAAACAGCTGCAAAACTAAAAGTTATTTACTGATATGCTCCCCGTTGGCTTTGTAGACATCCAAGCACCGCTTTTCCATGCCCTGAGACAATCTACGGAGGTAGCTGGGGTCCAGATTGGACCAGGCGGCTTGAATGGCCAACTCGAGTTCTTTCTTCGCGTCATGCTGCTTCGTGCAGGCTTAGACGATCCCAGCCATGTACCACAAGACGTTCTCAATGGGATTCAGATCGGAGGACTTGGCTGGCCAGTCCATAACCCGGATTTTGGCACGCTTGAAGAAGACCTTGGTCGTGCGCGCCGTATGGATTGAGGCATTATCTTGTTGGAAGATGGCGCCGCGGCGAATTTGGTGGCGGATGACGGGAAGTAGATGGTCCTCGAGCGTTTGGACATAGTCGTTCGCGCACTGGTTGCCTTCGAGGAAGACGAGCTCGCACGTCCCGTTTGCATGAAAGGCCCCCCACACCATTACACTGCCCCCGCCATTTTGGCGGCAAAAAGCTGCCTTTGGATCATTCCTGCGGCAATGCGCAGTAGTACTTCAGACCATCTGGGCCATCCAAATTCCATTTCTTCTAATCAGAGAAGATGGTTTTGGCCCAGGTGTCATCACTAGTACTTGCATGCTTAGTGCCCCAGGCGACCCTGGCATGCTTGTGAGCCTCGGTCAATTGGGGGGCCTTGTTCATCTTCACGTATTGGAAGATGCCGGAGGACGCGAGGGTGCGAGAGACTGTGGACTTGGAGACATTGAGCTCCAACTTTTGGACTTGTTTGGGGGCGCTCAAGTCGCCGGGCACCGCAACTCGGAAGAGGCGACGCGTGTCACGGGCCGACATCTTCTTGGGGCGGCCTTTGGAGTGCCGCTTTCCGTAGTTCGCGGATCCTTGAGATAGTTGGAGATGGCTTTGCGGCTACACCCCACTTGTGCCTCCATTTGACGCAGGCTAGGACCCTCGCCCTCAGGCAGCGCCATCAGGGCTTGAATGGCACCTTTCTGAAACTCAGTTAGAGGCTTTCCCGCGCCTATTTCTTGCCTAGGTGAGCATAAGATTCGTGCACAACTACTACGCTATGAACGCACCCTTTGCAGCGAGTCTACGCTGCGTCCTGTCCGAAAGAGCGCCAAACTTGCAAAGTGGGGCTAACCTTTTGCGTCAGTGCAAAAACACGGACCGCTTGATTTTTCCGCCAGTAATTAACTTCTTCACCAAATTTCACCTGCTATAGATTACAGAGCGCAAGACAAACCGTTTGCCACCATTTGCACGTTAAAACTGGCAAAACTCGATGTGTTATGATGTTTTAAAGGGGTCGGGCTAACCTTTTGCGTCGGGCTGTATCATAAAATAAAATTCATGAAAATTAGATTTTTCTGTATGAGTTTGTTATTGATATACGTAAACTGCCATATATCGGTCAATAAATATTATGAAATGTAATAACATGGAAAATTTTTGGAATATATATGACTAAAAAACATATACCGAGTATTCTCAGTCGATAAAGCAATATAATACACAGCAAAATTGAATAATTATGAATGATTTTATAGCATCACGTAACATTGCAACCTCATACCACCGGGACATTTCAGTCCCGCCTCAACCAGAGGGATAAATTAGTCCCACTCACATTTATGTATATATAATCATTATTGGCGTATTACACTTGATAAAACACACATCTATCCACTTTCCAATACTTTAGTAGTAAACTTACCAAAAATAGCAGCAGTTCATCACACAGTTCTTCGGGTCGCCTGCCGAAGACCACCACTGCCCTGGATGTAATGGACCATCATGATTCCTGCCTTCCGGAACGTAGCCTTCAACACTTCAAGCCGTCCGTATCTAGGCCGTGGGTCGAACCAGCCCTCGGTCGAACGGCCACTTGTCGAAGGACGATAAATTTTGGAACAGAACTATGCTATCTGAAACCTAACCTCAGATACGGTGAACGTAAAATTACGTAATTTAACGATGCCTGGAAGTCATATTCGATCCGCGGCCTGGTGGTGCTCGGCAGGTGGTGGTCAAGGCCGGAAGAGGACAAAGCAGAGTGATGCACGGCTTATTGGTGTAGGTCCGGAGAGATCCAAGGTGTTCGATTCAGGGCTTATTGGTGCACAAAATTGGTGGTGCACGGCTGCGCTCCCCAGTTCTTCGTATTGGCTGAAAAATACAATGGGCAAAAAACATACTCAGCGTATCCAGCAATCACTCGATGCTCAATGATGTTTGTTGCGGTGCTAACCTCTCCAGATGCCAGATGTCGCTATATTTGGTGCATGAGTGTTTCTAATATGTCCCTGTGGTTAGCTGCGCCTTTAATGTTGTGCTATTTGCAAGTTATATGGTAAAACATAGAGCGGGACCCCACAGTCCCGTCAGTCACGAAAGGGTTAAGTTCGTGTACCACAAAGAAGAATGAGTCCACGTAAAATAAAAATACGTAATAATTGTTTTATAAAATTATAAAATCTTATCACTCTTTATGTTTTGATCGGAAAGTGAACACTTCCAACCTTTGCACAAAGCCGTATGAATAAAACTAACACAAACACGAAATGATCGGTTCCAGTCACGCTATTAGGCAGCAAAATTTGATCAGCTACATCAATTTCATCAGTCAAGCCCCATTACCATCACCAGTTGGAGCCAAAACACAGAAATGGTCTCCTAGATGCGAAGCCTCAGTAATAAAATATCTGTAACAAAATTGAATTGAAATCTCTCAAAATTTCATTCCTCTCAAGGCGACAAAAAATATTAGTATTCTAAATAAAAGATTTAGATTGATCGATCATCAAAGATTTTTGATGATCGTTCTGACCTACGGAAAGAA